GCTGGTCTACCGTTTCACTTCCTCTTAATCGCTTACCATGTAAATCCCTATTGTCTTTGACAGTGCTCTTAGGTGCAAACCTGTGCAAGCCCTGTTCCAAATAGAGGAAGTCTGCTTAGGAAGAACTGCATAGCTCTCTGTTATGGCTTGCCCCTCCTCCTGGGCAAAACATGCACCAAAGCACTAGAGCTGGGAGCAGGGACCATAGCCTGGTCTCCCAGTGTGACACCCCTACCCTATACATGGGCATTAGGTGGGATGGTAGCCCCAGGTCAGCTTGGTTTGACTCTCATAGATCCTCTACTCTATAAGCAAACTGGGATAGGAGTGATGGAAATACAGTATTCTAAGCCACCACACCTGGAGTAGGGCTTCTACCCTACCCTATGAGTGATGTGAACTACAATAAAATCCTAAACCCTTTGCTAACTGAATGGACCCCTTCATGGCAAAGATGACCCCAGAGAAACCTAAAAACTGAGTTTCCAGCCCTAGCAGGATTGGAGGTCACACATGCCTCTCCCTTGCTAAAGATCATTGGGCTTTTTTGTAAGGGCTAAACAGAACCCAATCTCATGGTCCAGATCAGCATTCTTTCCTGATGAGGGACCACACACCATGCTGTGGTTTTACCAATCTGCGGAGCATGGATAGAGAGGGGTTTTGTGTCCTTGCTTCACCCTTTTGACACACAAGGGTGGCCTTTTATGAACATGGACCCCATAAAAAAGCATAAAACTTGATTGTGTAGACACGTTTCTCTTTCATAAATATTCATGACTCCTCTTATAGTTTGTTGAATATATATATCTGACCATTCCACTCAGAATACATTCCTGTTCCCTTTGTCCCTGCCTCAAAGCATGTGTTCCTGGCATCTTGCTGGGGCCCAGTTTTCCAGTCTGTCGGAATGGCCACCCAAAGGCTACAGCCCTTTATGAGAAAGAAAGCTCTCCTTCCCAAATTATGAACGTCATTGTTTCTTCACTCAGTGCTGGGGGCCTAGTGATGGGAAGGAAGCCCAGGTTTTCTCAGCCACTCCTGCCAGGAATAGTGCTTCTGCAACACAGAGCTGGGGTGGCAAAGGACGCTGCTGTCCTGCCCCTCACAGGGTGAAAACATAGCCCTAGCCCAAGAGCTGTGGGAAAAGTGAGCCCTGTCTTTTCCGCCCAAGCCGTGCACAGCTGATCTTCCCTTGCACAGAGCTGGGTGAGGAGGGTGGAAGCAGATCACGGCTCAAATGCCACAAACTCTCTGCTCTGAACAAAAGTTTCTTCATTTCATGTGTGCCCATAGGAAAATTTCTGGACACCATAACTGGTTTGTCCTTGTTTTTAAAAATGTCACCAATTAATTTATGGTTTCATTGGGAGGAGAAGGGTGCAGAAAGGCATTGAAGGAGAGAAAGAGTTTTAGTTGAATGAGAGGGAGGAAAGGGAGCATTGCAGGCAGGGGGAATAAACCAACCACAGGAGTGAGGAAGTAGAGACCTCGCAGATGATACCTGGACTGACTGGGCTGCTGTACAGAGACCTAGAGGTGCCACTGCATGGACAGCTCAGAGGTCGTTTTGGAGGACCTTCAATGTCATCTTAACAGATCTGGTCTTTGGATAATAGGGAACCTCTGAAAGCTTTGAGAGAGGGAATAACATGATGGAAACTGTATTTTAAGAACAAAAACATCCACTGTATGCTGTGTTTGCTTTGATGTATCAATTCTTTGTTTTTAAATAATTTATAAGTATTTCTCTAGAGTATTTTGAAGAATTCAGCAAAATTAAATTGCAGTAAGTTAATTCACTTCAGACATCTCAAGTACTTTTTGCTGTCATTAGTGTTTTTAATTGACAATAATTGCACATATGGATGGGGTACAGTGTGATATGTGGACGCATGTATACAATGTCTAATGAGCAAATCAGTGTTATTAGCATGTCCATCCCCTCCAATATCATTCTCTGTGTTAGGACCATTTCAGAATCCAGCCTTCTGACTCTTTCAAAATATACAGGACACTGTCAATCTTGGTCACCTACGGCGCTACGGGACACCGCGCTCCCAGGCGGAGCCCGCCATTGGTGGGAGCCCCGCCCCGCCCGCGTTGCCTAGGAACCCGCCTTGTGTCGTCACTTCCTGAGCGACTCAGGCTCGCGCAGGCGCGGTGAGAGGACACTTGGCGGGACCGTCCCGCAGCGACGACGCTTCTCTCGGAGGGAGCGACCCGGCGGCTCTCCACACCCGCAGCGGCGTCGCCCCGGCTTGGGCCTCGGCTGCGGCCTGGGCCGGTCTCCGGCCCGTGCGGGGCGGCCTGGCTCCCCTCCCGCCGCGTTTCGAACCTTATAAGGGACGCGCTGAGGGAGGCAGGGAGGACGCCGAAGCCGTCGCGCCGTCTTGAGGTCGGAGAAGGGAAGGCCGGGGAGGCTCCGCCCTGATGTGGAAGAGGAGCGGGAAGCACCACAGCGTCAAATGAAGCGGCCATCCGCAAGTTACCGACGTCCACCGGGACGGGAAGAGGGAGAAGCCCGCGCCTCCGAGCCAGGCGGGCTGCGCCCAGGGGCCGCTGCTGAAACTGTCCGGGCAAGTGTACAGCTAGTGTTACAGCGCTTGGCTGGGGAGAGAACCGACCAGCACATGGAGAGTTGGAGAACAGCCTTTATTCCACCAGCAGGCTCAGCATCAACTTCTGACACCTCCTTCCTTGTTACCCTCCAGTTTTTATACCCTTGGCAGGATTCAAAAAGTGTCTAATCAGCAACAAGCTTTAACATCCAATCAGCAGGGGGATTCAAAAAGTATCCAATCAAGATCTCGCCTGCAGTGTGGCTGAGGGAGGCAAGGGACTCACCCACACATCCACCACTCTAGGAGTGGGAGGGGCAGAAGGGGCAGGGAGCGGCCAAGTCCCTGTGTCCAACAGTTTTCCCTGTGAAAACTGTAGACAGCTGCGCAACCCCCACGGTCGGGAGCTGGTGCTGCAGCGGCAGCCACTGCCAGCTTCCCTGGGTCATGGGCTCAATCATCCTACTTCAGCTCTCTCTGACGATGGCAGCAATTAGCACAGGTTCAACACAGCACATGGCAGCTTTGTGACGCCAAGGGGCTTCTTTTAGGAAATCTGGATATTTCACCCCAGCTCTCTTCTGGATCATCCCTTACTCCCCAGTCACCAGAGTGTCTTGGAGCAAGTGAATCTGATGTCTGGATTGAGTCTTCTCAGTTTCTTAATCAAGAGATAGAAGAGCTCAGGGAATCACTGCAAGAAAAAGATGCAACAACTAGAACTCTCCTGGAAAATGATGCCAGATTGTCCAACTCGATTGCTGCCACTGCAGAGCTGGAATGAAAAAATATGAGTAAACTGATGGCAGACATTGAGCAGCTAAAGGACAAAGACGATATTTTACAAAGATTACTTAAGGAAAAAGACCTCTTAATCAAAGCCAAAAGTGGTCAGTTACTTTCTTCAAATGGAAATGAACTTTGAGGAGGAAGTAACAAACCTCAAGGAGAGAATATTAACTTAGGAATGGACATTGGTAAACTAGAAGTGGACAATGCAGTGGAAAATTCAGGCCATCAAGCCAGGGTGCAGGTGCAGTCATTGCAAGAACAACTGAGTGCAGTCGCATGCAAAGGGATGAAATTGCACTGCAGCTTTCTGTCTCTCAGGACCAAGTGAAGCAGCACGCTCTGTCACCAGTCAACCTGGAGATGGTAGTAGAGCATTTCCAACAAGAGAAAAAATGTGTATTCGGCTGAGCTAGAAAAGCAAAAACAACTCAGCTGAATGGGAGAAAAAGGCAGAAAATCTGGAGGGAAAAGTGACACCATTACAGGAACGTTTGGATGAAGCAAATATCAGCATCATGACTTACAGGACAGTTAGAGCTAAAGGAAGAACAAATTGAAAAACTTAAAAATCAAAATGAGCTCCAACAAGAAGTGCTGGATCATTTGCAAGAGAAGCTGATGAAGTTAGTAAATAGCACAGATGGCAAAGTGAACAAAACTAATGAGAAACCTCTCTATTAGACATTTCCACACACCAAAAATCAGTGTTGTGAGGTGGTATGACTGATGGGAGTATCCTGGGTGTCAGATGGGAGGCAATGGAGCAGTTGTTTGATGAAGATCCAGGCGGTGTTACCAGGTGGATAACTGGGTGACTTGGAGGAGGATCAAAAAGTGTCCTTGACACACCTTTGAGGCCAAATCAGCAATCTGTGCTTAACAGTTCTTTTTCAGAACTTTTTGCTAAATTTCTGGAAGCAGAATCTCATCCATTTGTTCCACCACCAAGTCTTTCTGTCCACAATATGAAACCTCTAGATTTACCAGGAAGGAGAAAACTAAACACAAATGTGCCTGAGATTTTTAAAGATACAACTGAATCCAGGTGTGGGAGGAGAGTGGAGATATGTCCATTCTTGGGTCCCCACTCCGCAGCTGTGCCTCTGGTAACCTGGCTGCACTGGGACCCGGTGGCCCTGGCGTCTTCATTTGAAACCCATCTCAGATGTTTGGTCATGTTTTCCAGACCCGTATCTCTCAAAAGATTCAATAATCTAGTCAAAATAGATTAAGGACTTGAATTTAAGACTGGTAACTCTAAAACTACTAGAAAAAACATTGGAAAATACTCCAGGACCTTGGTTTGGGCAAAGATTTTTTTTTTTTGGATAAGAACTTGAAAGCACAGGCAGCCAAAGCAAAAACAGACAAATGGGATTATATCCAGCTCAGAAGCTTCTGCACAGCAAAGGAAGCAAACAACAATAAGAAGAGACAACCCACAGAATGAGCAAAAATATTTCCAAACTATACATCTGACAAGGGACTGATAACCGGAATATATAAGGAGCTCTAACAAGTCAATAGCAAAATAATAATAATTAAAAATCGGCAAAAGATCTGAATGGACATTTCTCCAAAGAAGCCATACAAATGGCCAACATGATATGAGAAAAAAATGCTCAACATTACTAATCCTTAGAGAAATGCAAATCAAAATCACAATGGCAACAAAGTGAGACTCTGTCTCAAAAAAAAAAAAAAGCCACAATTGGATAAATTTTGAGCAGCAGGTGAGGACCTGGTGGGTAGGGATTAAGTTTTGAGAGGTGCCCAGGAAGGTGGGGAGATGGAAGGGGCCACTGCTCTTGGGGGAGGCACCAGGGCCTCCTCCAGGATCTCCAGCCTGTCTGCCCTGATGGTGCCACCTGCAGGTCTCATCCATGCTCAGGGCTGACTCACATTTACACTGTTGGGGCAATGGAGGGACGGTTACAGCAATATGAATGTTAGTTGAATGCAAGGCTGTAACATGAAGTGAAAACAGAATATACAATTTCTTCACATTTCCCTATAAATACGTGAAAACTGATTTTGTGACGGGTCAATTTGGGGCTGGACAGTGGGGGTAGAGGAAGGGAGGAGCCCCAGATTCCTGGGATTGAGACTGAGTCATTCAAGAGGGAAATGCCTGGGAGGGATCCGTGGGTAGTTACCTGTGTAGGGTTGGGGCAGGAGGATTCCCTGGACATCTCTGGGCCCCATAGTGGAGACTCCTACATACCTGCATCTCCCTGATCCAGAGCTAACACTTTGTGTGGCTTGGCCCACCTGCCTGTCACCCAATGGCTCCCAGCAACCCCACCGCCACCCCCGACCTCCTTACACATTCTTATGTAATTCTCACTGCTTGGTGGATTGGGCTTAATGAATGGCTTCTACCCGAGAGAATATGGCAACAGCGATGGGATGTCACTTCCAAGATTGAGTTATGAAAAGTCTGTGACTTCTGTCTTGCTCCCTCTCCTCTTTCTCTCTCTCTCTGTCTCTCTTACCCCACCCCTCACTGCAGGGAAGCAAGCTGAGGTATTGTTAGTTACCTTACAGAGACACCCCAGCAGCAAAGAACCAATGGATGACCTGGCCTATAGACAGAAAAAATCCGAGACTATTGGTCCAAACTGAAACCTGCTGATTACTGGTGAGTGAGCTGGAAGGAACATCCTGCCCAGTCGCTCCTCAGTTGAGACCACAGCCCCAGCCTCCCAAGAGGCCTTGAGGCAGAGATGCCCAACTGAGCCATGCAGGATCCTAAAACACACAAACTTTCAGATAATTATAATGCTTGTTTTTACATGATATACAGCTGCCACAATGCAACATGTTATTTGCAGTGTAATCCGTTGACAAATCCTTCTCAAATTCTTTGTATGATTCCATTTCTCTAGCCATAATTAAATAATAACATTTAGTTTAGAATCTTCAGGATTAACAGAAAATTATATTTTTCCCCAGGGAAACATCACAGGGAAGCACAGAATCCAGTAAGATACATGTGCTTTGCTGTCAGCCCCTCATGTCTCAGACCTCATCATTTTGTCTTTTCTCCCGGGGAGCCCCTGTCTGCCTCCAGGGATCATGGAAATGGAAATGAAGGGCCTCTCCCAAACACACTCATCTCCCTGGAGATGCTCACCAGAAAGGCATCATTGTTTTTGGTAATTGGCAACTGGGGCAAAGTTTTTCAAACTATGATTAGCTCCCCAGTGTGCAGTGTCACTGTTACTACAGGTTAAAAGATAATTGCAGTCCTTTGGGGAGGTGAGGTCACAGGATCACAAAGCATATCCAAAACGTGGCTGCCCCCCTCCCACACACTGGCTGTGCTGAGCTGATTGTGATGCCTGAGCCCATCAGCAATGGAAGAAACTCAGGTGAACATTTATGTTTTGATCTATGAGAGAAAGACTGCAAGGCTATTAAATGTATTAGGAACCGGGGTAAGTGTTCTTGTCTGAAAAAGGGATTCTTTGGGGCTGGAAACTGAGCCAGTACAACATTCATGCAAGAAGAAGGAAAGAATGACTGAGTGATGGGTTCAACCTGTGGAAAAGGATGGAGGTCAAGACCATAAACCAGTCCCTAACTGTTTGTTTCTAATTAAATTTATTATAGTCCTCGCTGTTCATCATTGTTGATTTTGATAGAGTCATAGGTGCCTGGTTGTTTTTAGGTTCTCCAGTATAATTTTGGAATTAATTTTCCAGATGCTCTACCTTCCCTACAGGAGTGAAGGACACCTTTCTAAGATGGATAGAGGTGTTTCCACAATACCTTCATGGCTGTGATAATGTACAAGGTATGGCTGATTGAATTAATTTATTCTGTTTAGAAATAGTAAATATAGGTTTTTCTTTTTTACCAATTTGAGGGATATTAATATACCTAATGGAGACCATAAATTTCATGTGACAGAGAACACCTGTTGTCCATGATTGTGGTATATGACAGTTTTCCTTCACAAAGTCAACAGGAAAGGTAACCTGACCTTAGCTTTTTGTATTTTTAAAAATTATGATTTCAGTTTTTGAAAGAATTGAATTGTTTATGATATTTTCTGTTGTACAAAAATTTCCAATGCAATTCCCAGCGTAATACTCAAGCTACTACTATTTAAATTAAAGGAGTTATTTTTCCTACCTCCAATTTCCTTTTACATAATGCAATTATGTTTTAATATATTTAACCATTCTGACACTGAAGTCATTTTATTTCATACCTTTGCATTCACAAATACTATTTTTCTGTACACATTATGGGTAATTTATTAATAGTTTGTCCTTGGCAGTATTTTATCTCCCACTTGTGTCTCATGTCATCTTGCTCAGCACAGAGTCATTCCCATCTGTGCTCCTTCTTGATTAATATAAAGAAGAGTCTTCTCTTTTAAAACCAACATGGAATCATTTGTGCATTCTATAAATTCCACTGGATTTTATATGAACATCATTGTAAGATTATATAGCAAAATCAGCACACTTATATTCTACTTGGATCTCTGAAATAACATAGATGACATATGCCTATGAAATAAATAAATGTATTTTTAAAAAACAGCCACAATCAATATTGGGAGAAAAAGGCACATGATCATTCTTTTTAAAACTAACAGGATATGCAAAGATACCTAAAATATGTGGATGATTGAAAATGTATACATATGTCTGATTTGAGGCAGCACAATGATAAACTATCAACTTCTGACACTCCTCTCAACTAGGAGTTTACTAGAGAAATGTCATTTAGCCTTCCCATGCCTAAGATGTTCTCACCTGTACAATGGGAATAATAAAGAACTACAAGAGGTGGAAAAGATGTAACACATTAATATAGTCCCCTGGTAGTGTGAAGATTTTCTATTTAGATAGAAAATATATGTATTATATATATATATAATTATAAATGTAATTTCATACAATAGTGAAACTCTTACTGAAAGGAGAATAGATATTATTAAGAATGTATTAGTTGAAAATAATGGTATGAGTATTACAGTGACTTTTAGTTCTCATCAAATAAGACCATCCATATGTTCCCACACAGGATTCTCTCACACTGAATGAGATTGTCAGTCACCGGAAAATGACAAATGGCCTCCAAGGATGTGGCAATAGGAATGATCTTTTTATCTCAGACTATGGTTGGATTGCTGGGGAATTTCCTTCTTCTTTTCCATTACAGTTTCCTTTATTATACCAGAGGCACTTTAAGATTCACAGATTTGGTTCTCAAGCACATGACTGTAGCCAACTTCTTGGTCATACTCTCCAAAGGACTCACACATACAGTGACAACTTTGGGGTTGAAACATTTCTGGAATGACTTCTTGTGCAAACTTGTTTTCTATGCTCATAGAGTGGGCAGGGGTGTGTGCATGGGCACCACCTGTCTCTTGAGTGTCTTCCAGGCCATCACCATCAGCCCCACAGGCTCCAGGTGGGCAGAGCTGAAACCACAAGCTTCTCAATGCATTGGGCCCCTCAGTATCCTGTGCTGGATCTTGAACCTGCTAGTAAATATCATTATTATTCAGAATGTGATGGGCCAGCAGAAGAGCATAAACAGCACAAGGCACAACGTTTTGGGATATTGTGCAATATTTGATTTTCACGACAGCATTATGGGATTCCTACATATTATGTTGTTTTCATCATATGATGTTTTGTGTTTGGGACTCATGACCTGGGCCAGTGGCTCCATGGTTTGCATCCTGCACAGGCACAAGCAGCAGGTGCAACACATTCATAGGACCAACCTCTCCCCCAGATCCTCCCCTGAGTCCAGAGTCACCCAAAGCATCCTTGTCCTAGTGAGCACCTTTGTGTCATTTTACACTCTCTCCTCTGTCTTTACATTATTGTTGGCTATTTTTCCTAATCCAGATTTGTGGCTGGTGAACACCTCTGCCCTAATCGCTGCTTGTTTTCCTACAGTCAGCCCCTTTTTTCTCATGAGCCGTGACCCCAGGATACCCAAAATCTGTTCTGCCTGCTGTGGAAGAAATACAATATTCTCTCAGCTAATAGAATTCCTGTGAATTTTAGGTGGTTTTTCATGATTCATTATGTACTGTGCAGTCACTTATTGTTTTCTTGAAGAGGTTTAACCCCCAATATGGTCAGTCACATAGGAGAGAGTGTG